ACCCAACCCAACCCAACCCAACCCAACCCAACCCAACCCAACCCAACTCAACCCAACCCAACCCAACCCAACCCAACCCAACCCAACCCAACCCAACCCAACCCAACCCAACCCAACCCAACCCAACCGAACCCAACCCAACCCAACCCAACCCAACCCAACCCAACCCAACCCAACCCAACCCAACCCAACCCAACCCAACCCAACCCACCCCAACCCAACCCAACCCAACCCAACCCAACCCAACCCAACCCAACCCAACCCAACCCAACTCAACCCAACCCACCTCAACCTAATCTAACCCAACCCAGATCAAACTAACATACACAAGTATACTATATCTTCTTATCGATTTCCATATCAAAATGAATTTCCAATACATTATAATCCTAAAAAACTCAAACTTCATCCACCTTCACGCAGTGAATTGAATTTCCAGGAAATTTATTTTATGAGTATTTTATTTGAATTTCCTGGAAATTGGATATTACCATCGCATGAATTTTAGTAGGGGTTCTGATTTGCAGAATCTTAGTTGATTATTCTAGATAAATGCAGGTTTCACGTAGATCTTTTTCTAAACAACATTACAATACTTTCGTAATTTTAGCTATCAGTAGCTCCCCGGCACTTCTCTTAGGCCTTGATCATAGTCCCTTGTTGTATTATTGGAAGACATTACAACAATCATTGGTTATTCTGCATTTATTCTACAGGCTGTAACTTCACTTACAAGACTCTTTTAATCCTACTTTTCTCCACTTAGGCAGAGTGCACACAAAAAAAGGCATTTAACTCAGAAAGCACTATGAATAAACAGAAATCCCTCAATATCGCACACATTAGACTGAGTGCCAGTGGTGTGTAAATGGTATTTCATCACACTACGACTTACTGAAACACTCACCTTATTAGGACATGCTCCAATTCATGTCTACAACGACATTGTGAAGAGCCTATTGTAACTAAACGGCAAACACAGACTCTAAATTCGCAGAATGACTCTCCGTATGTCAAATTTCTCTTTGTTTCAGGCATTTTTTCTGAAAAAAATCCTTTTTACCTTAGACAATAGCTCAGAGAGAAAGGTATCGTTTTTTCACGCAAATAAATGTTTCAGTTTTTGAACAGTTGACTTCAGATTCGAATTTCCCGATCCCGATATTATTTCATCAATTTTTATAAAATTTTATGATTCTTTCAAAAAACCCTTCCCTTAATCCTAAAAACTAAATTCAAAATTTTCA